ATGAATATATATGAGAATAATGTATGAGCTTATTGCTTTCTCTATTTCCTTTTGTTTCTTTGTTTTCCATTGCTCTAGAAAGTAACTTTTGAAGAATGTCTTTAGGGACATAGAGAATTGAAATGTTTTCTTACCTGTGATAGAAAAACACAAAACAATCAAGTTGTATGTCATACAGATTTCCAACTCCTAATTATTTGGGACTTTAAGGGGTGTCTTTCTGTGTAGCCCACAGTGACCTTGTCATTGTAGAACTGTCGGTCATTTAATATCAGATGCTGCTTTCACTGTACTTTTACTCCCTTGTACTTTTCTTGTCTGGTTTCTATTCTTCATCAGCCTTATCAGCTAAAAGCTGTAGACTCAACCACTCTTAAAATGATCTTTTTTGGCTGAACAGCATGGAAGATTGTTATTTATTTGGAGGAAAAATTTGATCATTTTGGGGTTTCAATTAGGAAAAGCCTGGTGCCCTTCTTTATTCAGATAAAACAGAAACTGTATGAAGACATGATAGACCATCTAATATCTGCATGGGGATGTGGGAAAACGTGAGCAAATTTAGTACTAGCTGGGAGTAGGTAGAGCCTCTCCACAACCTATGTGTCAGCTCTACCGTCCCTTTCACTGACACTGCCTCCGAAGGTGCTAACTCTCATGCTGCCTGAAGAATTATCACCCTTGAATCTAGACCCAAGGCCTTGGGAAGTGCAGGTCCTCCTCTGCGCAGAACTACACCAGGGCTTCCTCTTGTGCATCCTTCTCCCTCAGGCAGAATTTGCCTTCCATTTCTTTGTTTTTGTTTTAGAAAAAAAGTTTTAGAAACAGACTTCATAGTTTACTTAGCCCTTTATTTTCCTATACAATTAAAAAATACACGTCTAAATTAAACTACATATCTGAAGCACAGAGCATTGTGCTTTAATTGCTAATGAGATCTTCTGAACTCAAGCAGAGAGAAATCATAAGAGTTTGGATTTGGGTTACTAGTTTTCTGTGTATGAGGATATGTAGGCATATGTCTATCATTACATTTCTGTACACTTACCAATTCCGACTTCAAGAAAAGGTTGCATCTTAGCAGAACTACACTGTTGGAGCACAATTATAAAGACGAGTGTTCTGGGACTCAGCTCATATATAACATCATTTCTATTTTGTTATTGATCTTATATTTAGAAATGACAAAACTCCTCTACTTCTTTTATGCTACAAAACAGTTTTACCTGCTTTGCCACTTCAAGAGATGCTAAATATATACATGGTAAAAGTTTATCCAAGCTACTTTAAAATATGAATTAATTAGTACATTCAAATGGAAATCAACATCAGGTTATATGAAGCAAGTTATGAAATATTAATGGTTTGGCTTTTGTCAAACATACTATAAGAATGAATTAATATAATTGAAAGGATACAAATAATATTTTTCAAATATTTCAATATATCTATTTTTCATTTTTAATTATATCACTTTTTAAAGAAATTTTATGGACACAGTTCTAATATTCCCTTCTTTCCTTCTTTACCTTTTCTCCCTGTAAAGATAGAAAAAATATTTTTGGTATTTTACACCAATATACTACACCAACTTGTGCATGCGTCCCCATGTTTATAGCAGCAAAATTTGGGATAGGTAGGTCTTGTACGCAGCCTATGTGAGCGTCTGTGGATGAATGGCTGCAGAGATTGCGCTGTTGGCACTGAGTCTTGCTTCACCATCAGTAATGCCTGGTGGGCTTGGGCCTTTCGAGAAGGACCATTCATGTTGAGAGTATAATGTTGAGTGGAGTGGACTGGAGAAGCAAGCTCAAGTATTGCATGGTTTCTCTTGAATGAAAAGTCCACATTATAAGCAAAGAGCAAGAATAAAGAGCATGGGACATAGGGGGATGGGTCTTCCCAAGCGGGTGGGGAATGGGAGATGGAGGGGGTAGGAGCACGTGCAAGGAGATAGGGGATGGGAATGAGGAATTGAGAGAGGTTGCTGGGTCGAGTTAAAACCAGGAGTGTAG